ATCTTAATCTTTTTATGTATGGTTTCTCTATGGCCTTGTATTCGAAAAAAATAATATTGACTTTAAGATATGTTCATGTATGTGTTAAAAACAAAAAGGGATGTGCATGTAGTTAGGATAAATTAGAAGGGATGTCATTGTATTTTACTCTTTTCTTTAAAATTAAATTATTAAATTGTTATATCAGTCACTATTTTTTCGCACGCGCTTAGCCGGAGGATAACCAATAAGACGAGATGAATGCAAGATAATAATAAAATATTTGTCAATTAAAATTTAGGATAAAACGTTACCATTATTCACCAATGTTCTAATAAACAATGAACACTATACTGAATAAATAGTAAGGTAACATCATTGGTTCACAGTTCACACCATCTTCCGACATCAAATGTCATTACATTGTTTTGAATGCACTGTACTAAGAGAAATTAAATGAGTTACGTATAATTAAATACTTGACAAATTTTTTTAAAAAATAAATTGAAAATATTAATTTAAATAATTATAAATTTAAAAATTTTAATTGTAGATAAAGTATATATAACTTTTATTTCTCATTTGTAACTATTGAAATCAATATTTATAACTTATTTTTAATTTTTTTATAGAATCTAACTTTTATTAATTCAATCATTTGGTTTTAACTGTCATTCTAAAACCTTTTTTTTTTCATCCCTTCTTATTTTATATTTATTGATTTCACTTATATAAGTTATAGTTAATTTATCATTTGATTGCTGTAAATTGTTTCATCTCTAAACCATCAGTAGAATAAACTCGTTTATTTATTGAAATATTTATTATTTTTGTTCTAAAATAAATAAAAATTTAGAATGAGAGAATAGTAATATTAGGAGAGAATCAGAAATTAAGATGAGAAATAATTTTCATTTTAGTGTATGGAATATAATTAAGCTACCTTCTATTTATATTTTATATGCACAGATGTAATTGACTAAATCAAATAAAATATATAAAATAATAATATCCAAATCAAAAATATTGGAGTAACAGAAATACATCAAATACTAAAAGATATGAACATCCACAAAATATTTTAAATATTCATAACACTTCCCATTATATATCCATAAATAAATATTATACCTCATTAAAACCTCACTAGAGAAAATTCAATGGAGCAAAATCCTAGTAAAGCAAAAAGATTACACAATATGTTCTTGACACTGCCTCTTTAAAAACCTTATCACAAAAAACTTAATAGAAAAAACATTGTTAAGAAAAAAAGAGTATTGCTGAAATATTTTTACAAAGAAAAGATATGTTTTTGAATAGTCATGTTCTTATAAACTAAGGAGTAATGTTCTTATAAACTAAGAAATTTTTATGAAAGATTATCTCAAGAATTATAATCACCAATGTAAGCTCCTGCTTACTAATTAATTCACTAACACTTGCCACTTATCGCACATCTTAGTATAATCACACCATAGTTCTCATTTGACAAGCATAATCATAAATTCATTTTTATTCAACTAACTAACCATGGCCCTCGTGGGCTTGTATTTAAAGAGTTAACCAATTTAATCTATCAAAAATACATAATCAAAATTAATTGTACTAATAATTTTAGTTAGCAATACACAAATACACACAATATAAATCCACTATACATATACATTAAGGCATTACAAGTAATTACTGATTGTGTGTTTTTGGTTTCCTTTTCTTTTGCACTCACGAAGCATCACCTGTAAAAACATTAATAATAGAGAGTGAAATAAATATCTCAGTAACCAAGAAATTTCTAACTTCTAACATATATTCAAACAGTATTTAAAATTATGTAAGCATAACAATTCCACACCTCAAACTTCAAAATTCATATGATACCACATAAACATACATACATGATCATCTACTACCTTGTTCAATTAATTTTTTTGCAAGACTATTTATTCCTTTTCAAGGATGCAAATTCAAAATTTCTTTGTGTATCAATGATGAGTCTCAAATTGATTATTAAGCATCACTAAATCAGTTGAAGAAAAACTCACATGGGTTTTTCTACAAAATCAGACTTTTCAAGCAACAAAATTCACCCTACATATTGCTGGCACCATCATAACCTTATCCAAGAATTCTTGATATGTTTAATCTATATTTACATAACAATCTCAAAGACAAAGTAGCAATCTTTATGATATGGAATGTACCAATAAAATGCTCAACAATTAATACTTCCTTTCTTATTAACATAACATAGAGCAAGGGCCACATGTTCCGTATTTAAACAATCACATGACTTATCAATAATAATAGCAAATGGTTCATCTCCAATGTCACCAATAATAGCATTAGTGATATCCAATGCAACAATAATAAATGATATACTTTTGAATTTTAGCAAATTTAGGAGAATTTTACATGACTACTTGATTAATTGATTCATAGTAATTAGCAAGAAACTTAAGAATTTCACGAAAGCTACCTTGATTGTTGGAGGTGCTTGGCTCATGACTAGGAAAGGCTAATCATTACTTTAACAAAAAGTGACACAATCTATTGATGTTATCAAGCGTCTTCGATACAAGTCTTGAACTTGCTCTAATTGCCTAACAATTACATCTTCAATATGTTGGTTTCGATTTATCAAATCCTGACATTTTTTTCAAGCAATGTTGCAAGCAGTTTTTGAACCTCTAACATAAGATGAAAGCTTTTATTTCTTATACCAATTTGTAAATTCCTATGTCATAAATACATCACCATCTTATTGCTTTCCAACATCGAGCCTACACATGTAACAATATAAGCAAAGTACTGCATCTTTTTCTACACTATTCCAACCAATTTTTAAATTCACTAAACTAAGCAAGACAAAATCTTCTTTTAGAATTTTCAAATTTTCTTTGTGGAAGATTATGTTAGGTAGATTGACATAGTACTCCCTGTAAATATGCTCTTCATACCTGTCCTTGGTCATTAGGATGATATGATAAAATTTAATTTTAATTCTTTTTCCTAGATCAAATTGCAAATCTTGCAACTCTATTCTAATTTGTTATTGTGGTTCAAGACTTGTTTGATGAAGATGGTTTTCTTGTTCATTTGGTGACAATTTTCTTTTAAAAAATCTCATAGTTTTCTATTCAAAATTTATACAATCTGCAACTACTTAGGGTGCGTTTGGTTTCCAGTTTGCCAAAAGTCAGTTTAATGAAAGTTCATTTGGCAAAAGTCAATTTGGTAAAAGTCAGTTGTTGTAATAAAATTTGTTTTTGGATACATTTTTTCAAAAGTCAGTTTGGCAAACTGAAAGTTGTTTGGATTAATAAAAATTTGTGCTTTTGAAATGTACTTTTTAATATGTAATGACCAAAAGGGACATTGATTTATGATAATTTATAATTTTTATTATACAAATATAATATATTAAAAATGTTTAAAAAATGTGAAACAAATTTAAAATAACATAAAATTTAAAATGTTAAATAATAAGAATAAAAATATAAAATTTAATTTTGGAAAAAAATTATGTAATAACTAGTTAAACATTCATTAATATTAAATAGTTATATGATTAATGGTTCGATCTATAATATACAATCTAATCTCTAATAGAATCTTGAACCCTATTCATTTCTCTATCAAAAGTTACACTTAAAATTGCACTTCGAATTGTTGATGAAAATGCATGCTTGTCATTATCATCATTAGTGTTAACCATATTTTCATCTTCAAAATGCCTAAAGTTAGAATCAGTTACAGATTTTCTTCTAATAAAATTATGTATAGCCATTGTTGCACCAACAATACAAACTTGCTGCACAAATGGATAGCTAGGCATGTGTCGTAAGATTGCGAATATGTTTTTTCAAACCCCGAAAGTCCTTTTAATTGTGGTTTTTAAGCTTGAATGATAATAATTAAAAACATCATTATTGTTTGCAAATCCAAATGAATGCTTGAAATCTAGGAGATGATATCTATGAGATCTATAAGGGCCTAAATATCCACGTGGCGTTGGATAGTCGACATCTAACAAATAATATTTACCTACCAATAAAAAAATAGAAATTGTAAGATCCCAAAAAATATTAAAAAAATTATTTTAAATTAGATAAATATGAAATATACCTTGGGGTGGATGTGGAAATTTCATGTCTGGCCTTATGAGTGCATAGTCAAACAAACGAGCATCATGAGCAGTCCCTTCCCATCTAGCCATGATATAAGTACATATCTCAATCACATGCGGCCATTATATTTTGTGTTGGAATACCTTTCATACCAATATATTTTCCTTGCTCTTCAATACTGACCACACACGGATATGTGTTCTATCAATTGATCCTATGGCATCTTTAAAGAATGGCCAATATCGCGGATCACCTAAAATTTCTGGATGAATATCTTGAAAAGTGCGATCTTCTGGTTGAATATATTCCTTTGCTAGCTTCTCACAAGCATGCAATACATTTCTAAAATGTCTTTGAATAGTCTCTGCTAAATGTTGAAATTGTTCTTATGCCATCCTATTCCCCACTCCATGTCCAACAATATTTAAGAACATACCGACCATTTCATAAATCCCTATTCTTTTGGTTGGACGTAGGCCATGTTGCACCAATTCATCACAAAGTTAAAGAAAAACATCTTTTTCCATACGAAACATGTCATAACAACGCTGAGAATGTCCTTGCAAAATTTCTTGCACCCATGCATGACTTGATTGTGAGCTAGTTCTACAAGGCTCTTTTAATAAAGTTGTTAAGTAATTAGATACTATTGTAATAATAGTCTCAACCTCATCATCTTCCGTATGTACAAGTAATTGTAATAAGTGAGACTGCGAACTTTCATCCATAAAAACTGCACAACATAATTTAACAACCATTACACCATTGTTCATGACTTAACATAAGAAACACATAAAACAAGAGTCAAATAACACATAGTCAGTTTCAAAACAAATTAACAACATAAACGACACTAGCTAAATTTAAAACATTAGAAGGCAAGCTAGGATTAATCTAATTTGCTTTTTTGCCCAAGCACTTCAAATAGGCCACTAATACTCTTCTGTTATCCTTAAGCCCAATATACATGTCCCTTGCGGTCTTATTTAGCAAGGCCACAGCACACTGTCCAAGAAATACCTCATCACAAGCAATCTCCTCGATTCCATAAAGTTCCTTTGCCACATCCACTACATTTTGATCAACTGATTTTGTTCCACCCTCTGTGGAATTAAGAATTGACTTTAATGTTGAAACCCTATCCTCTTGTGTGAACACTAATCGACTCACTGAATCAACCATCACCATTGCAAGATATTTTCCCTTCTTATTTTGACCACTTTCATCTCTCTTTTGCTTGCTCCCTGAATTAGTACCACCACTGTATGCATTATTCAAGTTAACCTGCCTAATTTCTGGGATACCACTAATGTTTCTTACATCATCACTGTCTTTTGATCCTTCAGTCAAATCCAATTGAGGCCTATGCACATCTTGCGGATCATCAGCCGTAGATGTCCACATGTACGTGCCTCGTGTAACACCCTCAAATTTACAAACCGATTTTTCGTAAATCATTAATTCAATAAATTATTTTTTTTCATTGAACCCTCATCATACCCTCATCATGGTAGAAAAATTTCTACCATGGTACATCCAAGACAATATACCACAGGTCTTAAAATATCTCAAAAAGCAATTAAAACCATGAGGGACAGACAGGATCCTCATGGCATGATATTCAAGTCAGATCATAAATCAAGAGGGACAGACATAATCCTCTTGGTCATATAAATACTTTTAATAAAAAGGATTAGAGTTTACATGCTTCTCAAAGAAGATATGTCCTAAGTTGGCACAAGATGCATTCTATAATCCAAAATAAGAGGCAACGTAAAAGATGGTGTCTCATACACCATAGTTACACCTTTAGTGCTTTCTCGGCCAGACTCTTTCTTGTAAAAATATTAACCACAAGGAATGAGACTTAAAAGTCCCAGTAACTAAAAATTAATATGTAATGATGCATGCGGATGTAACTAATCATGCGATTGCTAAGTGGGCACACAAAACATTTAACCGAACAATACTTTCAAACAAACCGAACAAGTATTTAATTTGCATGACTACGCCTTATATCTTCCTTTCGCCATGCTCGGACCCTAAATCACCCGGCCAAAGGTGAGTTGGACCAAGCGACACACCACTCATTGGGTCCAATGAGAGCTTACTACGTGGTAATAATTAACCGAACAGAAATTCCCATTAACACCATACATTAAAATACCCTGACAAGTCATGCATCATTCAAATATCCAAACAGGAATATATCCGAACAATAATATCTCATCATGATAAACAAAAATAAATTTTTTAACCCACTTGGCAATAATTTCAAACAAGTATATACAGTATTTATTTTTAATAATTTATAATTTTTCCAAACAATAAAAAAACACATAACCATTCACAAACACACCCATCACAACACATTAATAATGGTTACCTTGTGTCTTGAATAACAAGTTCCCCTTCACAACTCCTCTTTCACCACTATCTTTGTCAACACAATCTACATAGTTATTTCATAATACTATATATTAATTTTACATTAAAATACATAACTCTAATTTAAAGAGTTAGAAAGTCTTAGATCTATAAACCATATTAACACTAATTTAAGATTTATGCCTCATTTAACTTCTAAAATTTTTTTCTAAAATTCTCATACCCTAATAAACTATTTTTTTTATCCTCAAATCACTTCTCGTATCACAATTTCATCCTTCTATATTCTAAAAATTCGTCCAAAAATAAATTAAAAATTTTAAAATTATCCTGAAGCCTCAAATCACCTTTCTATAACCTCAAAAATACCTATTCATACTTAAATAAATATTTAATAATCATAAGTTTATCCCTACATCTCAGATTCCACATAAATTCAACCATATAGATCTAGATTTTAACTCAAAATTCTTAAACATGAGTTTCAACCTCAAAAAAAAATATTCTATAATATTTATTATATCCCTAAGAGTTTTAACCTATATTTTTAATCCATCATATCATCAGATTAACTATCATATAGAAAAATCCTAATCAGAATATTTACTCTATCCTACAAAATAATCATATCACTAGAAAGCTAATATTATTTAGAAAATAACTATAAAATTAATTTTATAATTAAATAAATTTTTAAATGCTAATCTAAACAGAAAAGTTAGAACATATCTGAAAAAAAGAAAATAATCCCCCCTTACAAGAAGACTCCGAGCAACGTGAGAGGAAGAGAGAAAAATAATATAAAAATGAGATTGTGGGTCTCAAAATTATATTAAAAAAAACTATAGGTATGAATTTAATTATTCAAACCTTTGGGTCATTACTTGCAATTTTCTTTAAATTGCATCTTGGGCCCTTAGTTGCAATTTTCACAATTGCATAAACTTTTCTTTTCTTCCTTCCTCTGCACGCTCTCGCTTTCTTTTATACATGAAGAATCCTTTCCTCATCCCACATCTAACCGACGTGGGACTTCTACACCCTCCTTTCTTTTTTTTTTACTTTCTTTTCTTTTTTTTTTTAAACTCACACACACATAATAATTTTTTTTTAAATCTTAAAATTATATCTTAACAAAATATTTCTTATATAATTTTAAACCTAAGTTTTTAATTCATAATTAAATTTCTAACCATATTATTATTTCTGAATAATCTCAAATAATATAAATTCCTATTATTATTATTTATTTATTTTTTTAAATAAAAACTGAAATTTCACAACAATTTTTTTATCTAAAAAAAATCAGGATGTTACACCTCGTGCTGCAACTGGCTAGAACAACTATGTCAATTCTTGCACATATGAAAGTGGTTATGTCTGAATTTCCTATACTCAAGATTCTCTTGCACATTTACAAGAATTGAGTTTAGTATATTTATAAAATAAAATATCAAATGTATAGCATGCTGCATATAATTGTATACCTTAATCTTTTGATTCCACCACTTCTCCGATATTGAAACAGTATTCTTTTCGGTATCCCATCCTAAACTGTTCTCTTTGTTCAACAGTTTGTCCCATATATTCCAATCTTTCCTCAAATTGTCCCATTTATTCTTCAATTGCTTCTTATCATAGCCTTTATAGCTCAAAGCATTGAACTGTTGCATTAGCGCCTCCCAACCTTCCTTTAATAAGGTAGAGCCTTTACGCTCATTTTTTTTAACTTGCTGGAGAGCTAATTTAATGAACAATTTGGTCTCTTTGGTAGTTCATAGTGCCTTCTCTTTACTCATTTTTACTATCAAAATATCATATTCTCAATAAAATGAAATTTAAGGAGTAAAAATCCATAATTGAGTTAGACTTAAAATATTAAAAATTTTACTATCCTTTTTTTATCAATGAAAAGTCAGTAATAATTGTATTTTTTATTTTTTTGGAAACAAAGAGAAAAAGATTATTCGACCATGGTTAATTAACCACTTGTTATCTTAGCCACGCATACTTGTTAAAAGAGGCTGTTATTCAAAAGCAGCCACAATCAGATGGCTTGACAATTTTTGGACTTACTTAAAAATTCAAATCATATGATTCAATAGTATGTATTAAAATAAGCAAGTTTGACTGAAAATTTGTAGTCTTTCTCATCCCTTCATCAGTTTTCGAAAAATGAATGAGCTCAAATTCCTATCAAAACAAAACTGAAGAAAAAAAAACAAAGCAAGATAAAACAATCAATAGATCAGTCACCAGAACATATTCCCAGAACACCATGTCATATTCCCAGAACATCAACATATCAACAGAACAATCACAAAATATAGTCATAAATAATGATCAATCTCATCCATCCTATTACATGTTCTTGTTTTGCGTAGAAGATAGCAATCAAAAGAAGGCAATAAAAAAAACCTCACAACAGTCACACCAGAACAGAGGCTTCACGGTGGTCCTAAAAAGAAAAGAAACAGATCAGATTGAAGAGCAGAATAGAGGACTACCATTTCATCTATTAATGCAAAACAGGGCACCACCGTTTTCAGATCTAACAAAAAAATGCTTGGAGGCTATCATACCTTGCAGATCGAAGAGCAGATCAGAGAAGAGGTTCGGAGTTCGACGAGCTGGATTGAATGTTCACTTTTGCACTGCACAGGTTGCAAAACCAGCTGGTCAGAGTTCTCTCAGCTCTGAAATGTCATCCAAGTCCCAAAATGAGCTTGATTCATGAAAGAGATGAGGAGAAATTAGACGGTGAAATGCAGCGATCGTCGATGAAGGAAGGAGGAGCTCAGGGAAGGAAGAGATTAGGAGCTCTGGATCTGTGAGATGGCAGAGGAGAGGCGAAAGAGAAGAGACGGTTGAGCAGCGGACGAGTGGCAACCGAGCAAGATGAGAGCAGCAGCAAAGAATGAGAGACGCAGCTCAGTTGCACGAATGAGAAAGGAAAAGATATGTTCAACTACATAAAGTGAAAGGGTATCATGGTCAATAAACATATTAGGTATCAGCCATAAATGCCCAATGCCATAGATCACATTTCAAAAGTAACACCAAGGAGCTTTGCAAATTTTTCCGTTTCAAATGTATTTGGAAGCTAGTTTTGAAAGCACATTCCATCTAAGAAAGAAACCCAAACAACATTTTACATTTGAAAAGTTAAAATCTACTTTTGAAATGTAAACGTGAGTATATCCAAATGCATACTTAGTTACAATATATTCAATACCAAGAGGATGGCTAAAAAGCTAAATTTATTACTTAAAATTTAAAAGTGAAAAAAATAGGCATTTGAAGACAAATATATGAATAACTTTTATGCCATTAAAATAATACACCTTGCTTGAAGAATGGTATTACATGGTACAAGTTGTACAACACTGCAACTAAGAAAGCTTTTACCTTTTTGTTTTTTTCCTTCCTTTTCTTCTATTCTTTCTTTCTTCAATTCTTTAAAGATCAAGGTACCTATTTAATTATAAAATATATATTTATCAATAAATTTCTCATTCCAATAAAGATTGAGTCCTTATAAAATTTTGAGTAGCTCAGCTGCTTTGCTTGAGTAAGAATCAATAATTTTAAAACACAAACCTCCCTTCTATTTTTTAATTTTTTTCATCTACCCAACTCTTAATTGATTGTTAAGTCATATATATTAAACCAAAATGCCCTTTTAAAGTATTATGTAAAAATATTTAAAATATAAAAAAATTAATGCATATGTTTTTAAAATTTTATTTATATTTTAAAATTTTTAATTAATTTTAAAATTTTTTATTTAATTTTTAAGAAATATAAATATAAAATTTTTCTAAAATAATATTTCAAACCTGTATATAAAAAACATATTGAAATAGTATTGTAATATAAAATAAAAAATAAATTGATCAATATAATTTATGTTTATTTTCTTTAAATTTATTTAATTTAAACATAATATTAACTATTTTCATAATTATTTAAAGTTCCTTAAATTGAAAGAGATAGAATATAAAATTAGATTATGAGGGAAAAGTAATAATTTTAAATTTTTGAACATAATTAAAAATAAAAATTAAAGTATATTATAATATTTGATAAAATATTCCAAATGGTATTAGAAATTGAATTAAATGTGAGTTTTAAAAATAAAGAGAAGGTCTTTGTAATTTTAGTAAAATAGAAAGAGTTCATTGTAATTTGCTCTTAAAAAAAAAAAAAAACAGAGAGAGTGACATACAATATTTTTTGACCAGTGACATGCAATTCAATCGCACATAGTTTTGCTTTTGCATTTCAAAACCTAACCCCATATATGAACTTTCTTGACAAAGTGGTAAGGTCACAGTTGTACATTTACTACGTGATAGATAGATAGATCCCAAACTAGTCTTTTTCGCGCAATCATAACAAGAAGAGAGATAGCTATGCTGTAGTACTACGTTTTTATTTATAAAAAAAATTATTATTTTTTATTTTTTTTATATAAATAAAATTACACATTTTATTTTAAATCTCTCCTCATATTTTATATAAACAAAAAATATTTATTACACATTTTTTAAATCTCTCCTCATAATTTACATTAACGAGAAATAATTAATATATGCTTATATTGATTGATATAGAAAATTTTTATCCAATTTCTTTATATTCAAACATAATTATTATGGTTAACTAATTTTTTTAAATTGTGTGATATAATTTTTTTTCTCTTATATATAAAAATGGAGGGAGTATTAAACATTAAAATTTTGTTCAATCAAAATTTTTTTTCTTTTTGATGTTTGATCGAATGTTCAATCAAAATAAAATGTTGGGGGAAATTATTAAACAAGGATTCAATTAATAAACACTTTTCTTATTTAATATATAAACAGTTTTTAACAGTAATTGGCATACTAATATGCTTCTTGTTCCTATAAAAATATAAATTATTTTCTTTTTTATTTTTAATTCTAATATTAAGTTGCTTATATTTTGGACTAAAATTAAGTAATATTTTTAAAATAATCTTTTTCAAATGAATTTACAAAGATTAGTATTGATTGTTTGAAAATTTTTCAGTAAAAAATCTTACATTAAAACAAAGTATAGTAATAAAATTTTTATGTAAGGAAAGTTATGTAGCACATTTTCAGAATAAGTAATTATTTAATCTCTTTTTAAAAAATATATGACATTTTTGAGGAGTTATATGCTTGAAAATATAAAATATTTTTAGCATTTTAAGAGATAATTATAACATTTTTTTAAAGTGACTCTAATGAATAGATCATTCATATTTATTTTAGAATAAAATATCATATTAAATATGAATAAATATAAAAAGATAGTGTTAATTTAAAGATAAATAACTACTTTTTTAAAATAAAAAATGTCTTATATTTTAAAATAAAAGGAGTATATATTTTTTTTTGGGATAAAAATTGCATATAAAGTTTTAACTAAACGCTTCGCCATTTGTTTTCAATCACGACAATTAAAAATAAGGTGTGTTGTTATTTTTGTAACCTATATTAACTCATTTTATTTTTATTTAAATAATAGTATTAAGCAATAAAAAAGTTCCTTTTTATTCTGCTTTTCTTAACTGTCAAATCTAACAAATTCAGCTGAGGGGTAAAACTAAGCAAATGATTATCCGATTAAAAGTGCACATTAACTTTCCGCTATATTTCTCGGGGTTAGTTAGATTCATTTAACTTCTCTTTTAGGAAAATATATATATATAAAAAAAGCATTAAAATCTTTTTGTTTGTTAGTGTATTGTGATATGATTGGCTCAATCCAAGTCTCTCACTACAAAACAAAAAGCGCTTCGCCTGGTTAAATAAATATATCATCGCAAAATTATTCAAAAATTTCAAACCATAAGAGAGAGAAAGAGACAGAGGAAGTGAAAGAGTGAGAGAGAGAGAGAGAGAGAGAGAGAGAGAGGGAAGCTGCAGATTTTTGGTATGCGAAGCAGAGAGCAGCAACAACAAAACAGAGCACTTTGGGTATGAAACGATGTCGTTTCGAGGGGACGATCAGAATCCTGACCTGAACAAGAACCCTAGTCACGGCCCTAATCCACCATCGACGAAGAAGAGACCACCTAGCTGGTCCAACGTCTGGCTGAAGAACACCAAGCCTCTCAAGCATATGGTGGTGGCCATGCAACTCCAGTCCCTTTCTCCTCCCGACGATCCCAAATCCAAAACCCTAAGTCCCAATATTTTCCCAATGGACTCAACCCTTCTCTTGTCCGACGAGCTTCTCCTCAGAATCTTTGCCAAGCTTCCCGATTCGCAGAGGAAGTCCATTTCTCTTGTCTGTAAACGGTGGTTGAATTTACAGGGGCGGCTTGTACGGACCCTCAAAGTGCTCGACTGGAACTTCGTCTTGTCGGGTAGGTTGATTCATAGATTCCCCAATTTAAATCATGTTGATTTGGTTCCTGGGTCGTTCATTTCGCCGCGGAATTCGGGTATTTATCTTAGTCACCGGCTTGTTTCGATGCATATTGATTCTGGATTCTACCCCAATTGGTGTTTCGGGGAGGAGAAAAATCTGCTTCCTGTTGATGTTATTGATAGCGGTCTGAAAGCTCTTGCTAGTGGATGCCCCAATTTGCGTAAACTGCAGGTTATTGGTGTTAGTGAAGTGGGTTTATTGAGTGTGGCTGAAGAGTGCTCGACGTTGCAAGAATTGGAATTGCTGAAATGCGATGACAATGTGTTGCGGGGGATTGCAGCATGTGAGAATCTACAGATCTTGAAATTGGTTGCAAATGTTGATGGGTTCTACAGCTCGGTGGTCTCTGACATTGGATTGACTATTCTAGCTCAAGGTTGCAAGAGACTGGTCAAGCTTGAACTTAGTGGATGTGAAGGGAGCTTTGATGGGATAAAAGCAATAGGCCAATGCTGTCAAATGTTGGAGGAATTGACTTTATCAGATCATCGAATGGATGATGGGTGGTTAGCAGCAATTTCGTTTTGTGAGAACTTAAAGACTTTGAGGATCCAATCATGTAAATGGATCGATCTAAATCCTGGACCTGAGGAGCATCTGGGTTCTTGTTTTGCTCTTGAACGTTTGCATTTGTACAAGTGCCAATTACGGAACAAAAATAGCATGGGGGCTATATTTCCAGTATGCAGGGCTGCGAAAGAGATTATCATCCAGGATTGCTGGGGATTGGATGATAGTATGTTCAGCTTTGCAAGCATCTGCAGGTAATGTCCACTTCTGCAGTTCCTGTTCTTTCCCCATTACACAACATGATTGAAATTTTTTGCCACTTTGTATCTATTGTTCTGTATCAAAATATTTTTCAAGTCATTTCTACCCTCTTAATTTTCTTCCGTTTGTTATTTTATATTGCTCAAGTGTACTGTGAATTGTATAATGCCAAAATTTGTGTGTTTTATGCATTACTATAAATAGTGTAATATTGATTGTCAATTCTGATTCCTCATTGAGAGAAATGATATATGTGTGTGTGGAATTCAGGACTACAAACAACCTCAGGTTATGTTTAAATTGATTAAAATGAGAAGAAGCCAAGGAAAGTCAAGTTTTAAGTGTGAAATTTTATTGTTGGATCATTTAAAGTTATTATATTTTTTCCTACTGTTCTCATCCATTTTCTGCCATGTAAACATATCTAAAGAAAAATTGTTGGGTTGAATTCTAAGTGAAAGCAAATGTCACACTTAAAATTTCATTCCTGTCCATTCTCTTCAATTGAAAATTATTTTCAAGAACCTCTGGTCCCAGTGCAATGATTTGGTCTTTTTGAAAATGTTTTCTTTCAAAAATTCACGTTAACCTTGGGTAACCAGTTTCAATCTCTCGGTGCAACAAGTTTACAGAAAAACTTTGCTGAGCTTTTCTTATTGAAAAACTAAATCTAAGAATCTGGGCAAAAATTACATTAATATGATCTTAACATAGGTAAATACTCCCTAGGTTAAGTTACTATCATATTGAGAGATCTGCTATAAGATTTTAAGAATGCTGTTACTAATTTTAAGTTAGTGTTTTAAATAACTTTGGTAGAAACTATCCTAAAACATTACACCCTGTTTGATAAATACAGGGGAAAGGTATATAATATCCAGTATGTCTATTATGAGCAAGTGATGTGTAAATCGATATGTGCAATTTCTTTGACATCTTGGTTATTATTATTTAATATAAATTATCTTTCTCTGTCATTTTTTTAATCCAAAGACACTCAGTGATTTCGCACTTACAATTGTGTTTTTCATTCCAATTTGAATGATGAACGAGCCAACAATTAGTCCCTAAAACCTAACCTAATTCTAACTTTTAGCTCTTGGAGGTAATTAGAATTTTGAAGATCTTTGACATGCTTTATGGTTAGTTGGCTCTCCAAATTTCACTCCATATATTTTTCCTGGATCTTTGTGAACCTGGAAAAAGAAATCAGTGGGCAGACTTGACTGTAAAATCACCATTGGGAGATGGTTTAATATAATATCCCAAACACCTCTCTCTACTAATGCATTTTGTTCAAGCTATAAGCACGTGTCATGTTCTTGGGGGGGAAAAAAACTGATAGCTGCTGCTCTATTGCAGGTGGGTGAAGCTTTTAAGCTTAGAAGGATGTTCATTGCTAACAACAGAAGGTTTAGAGTCTGCAATTCAATCCTGGAAGGATCTCCAAAGCCTTAGAGTAGTGTCCTGCAAGAACATAAAGGATAGTGAAATCTCACCCTCTTTAGCAACCATATTCACCACACTTAAAGAATTAAGATGGAGTCCGGATACCAAGTCTCTTCTTCCATCAAGTCTTTTGGAGGTAAGCATGGGAAAGAGAGGAGGTAAACTTTTCAGAAGAACTTGACGATGCCTGAAATTAGTCGAAGTGTAATCATAATAAAAGATGATAGTAATAAAGTAGGCCTCAGTCATAGAAACAGATTATTGTTACTGACTCTTAGTGAGAGTTGTGCCAATATAACTTAGATACCAACAGTTGAAGTATGTTCTGATTTCATCCATCAGACTGAGGAAGAAATCTAGAGATGTAATTATGTAATAAAATTTAGACAGTTCACTCTAAGTAGTATAAGCCCCTGTTCAATGTAATTTTTTATTGCCCATTTATTTTGCAATTAATGTACTCTATTTTTTGAGGTAAACTCACATTATTCAACTTGAGGGAGGGAAAAGTAGGGGGGTGGGGGGGGGAGTATTGAGCAAAGTCGCTTCAAAAATTCTTCATTTTTTAGTTTTTTTTAATAATAAACTCTGTACCATTCAATTAAAAAAAAAAAAAACTCTGTACCATGTGTAATACTGCATCTACAGGAGATTAAAATTTTCATTGTTATGCTTAGCAAGTTTCATTTATTTTATATTTTTGCTATTAGAAACAAGATAAGTTGCTCAGATTATTCTGTTTTTATATAACTAGATTGGATTCTCTTGCATTGGATATAGTTTGAAAAGTGGTTTCTGCTGTTCACTTCACAGCTTGTTATTAATTTACCTTGCTAATTAACCGCTTTAAATAGTTTAATTATGGTATGAATGTATAGATTTTTGGTTTAAATGGGAGTAATGTGTTGGAAATTTGGTAATCGTGTTATATTCTGAATATATTGGTTAATATTATTAAATTAATTTTTAACATTTTACTACGTCTCTGGTCATCACTGCACGTGGGAAGCATAATTAAATTTGTGAAGATTCACTATTTTCAAAATCACGAACTGAATTTCAATATCTACAACTCCCCACATTATTACCCTATGTTTTCTACTTTTCTTTGCTGTGGACGCGAGTAGGCGATAGACTCACCGTTTACCGTATTCTATTTGAACAGATATTTGACCTTCCCTGCCAGCGTTTTTCCCCCCAAATTCTTTCATCATCTCGTCTTTCTAGCTTTTCGTTGTCCCTTTTTGAAAAAAGAAAAAAAGAAAAAAAAAGAGAAAAAAAGTCAATTTTTCCTTAAGAAAATTACATCCAAAGATCATTCAAAATAATTATTTATAGATAAAGATTAACAAGTGTCATTCAAAAAAATAAAAAAAAGTCACATTTTTATTTTAACAATTCATTTCATATTGATTTTTGTTTGTGAATAATTTTTTTGAGTGATCATTATATATGATTCTCTTGTTTTCCTTTTACGCTCTTCTAAATTTTTCACCTTGTCCTTACCTGAGAGCAGTCTTCAGAAATATTATGTCAAAGATCAAATTCACAAATCTTTTATTATTATTATTTTTTTGAATTGGAGGCCATGGGTAAACTATGCTAATTGACAAGATGAGTCATGTCAGCGTACAAGATATTGCAACAATCAGGCGGTGGGTTATCGAAGATACGAATACAAAGATTGTCAGTGTAAGCTTGATGAGATAACCAATTGGCACATTTGTTTGCCTCTTTGAAAGTGTGGTCGAATGTGATTGTCCAATCTCGCATAGTGAGGTCTCTGATTCTATTAATGATAGCAGCGAGTGGGTGAGTAGTAGATAACTCATTATGGATTAGCGAGAGAGCTTCTGTAGAGTCAGTGTGGATGTTAACTTTCTCGAACTTCTTCGGCCAGTAAATGTTTAAACCTTCCAAGATTCTCATGAGTTCGGCAGTTGTACTTGGGTAATAACCAAGGTATTTAGAGTAACCTTTGATCCAATTTCCTTAGTTGCTTCGGATAAGACCCCCACATTTAGTTGTACCATGGATGTTGACAGAGCCATCAGTATCCAATCTAACCCAACCTTCTTCAAGAGCAGTCCATCTAGCTGTTGCTCTATCGCCCTTCTAGGTTAGGAAGTTAACTTTATTTTGAAGATACTGATCTTTGAGAACATCTTGGATGCTGGTAAAGGCAATGTCTCTGTCACAGGTGTCTTCTTCTGAATGTAAGATTTTGCACCTTTCTTTCCAAATGTTCCAACACACGTGGGCATAAAGTTTTTGCTAAGAGTTTTTCCTTGCACAAGCTTACCTGCATCATTCCTCACATTCTAAGTTATCCAATCCTGTAAAGGAAGAGAAAAAAGGTGTTAAGTTTAGAATGATTAACTATTTTTATCCAAACCTCTTTAGATTTTTTACAATCTCTTAAAATATGAATAGTAGAATCTAAAGAGTTACAACTAAAGGGGCATGTCTTGATACAAGGATTGCCTTCATTAGAACATGAGATTTTAGGTTGGAGACGATCCCAAGCTGCTTTCCAAAGGAAGGATTTGATTCTCTCATACGTCAACCATTTCCAAATCTTAGACCATATCTTGGAGCTATTATTATCGCAATGATTTTCAATAGCTTTATACGTAGATTTGATGGAAAAGTTACCATCGTTATAAGGCCTCCAACATAAAGTATCATCATCAGCATTGGTTTTGGAGGTTGAACGATGGTAATATGATTAACAACATCTTAGTGTAAATATCTACGTAATAGATCAATCTTCCATTTACTAAACTCAGAGCAGAAATCAGAAACCTTTACATGTAACATAGAATTAGGCTTAAGCAAGGCATATTTAACAAGTGGTTCTGGAAGAGGGCACCATTTGTCAAACCAAAAAGATATTCGATCCCCTTTTCCTACCTTCCAGCCCACCTAGGTTGTGAATTTATCCTAAACTCTACATATACTAAACCAAGTGTAGGAACAAGAGTTGGTTTTGCAAACCATAAGAATGGTAGGATTTTGACATTTATACTTATCATAGAACTCGAACCCAGAGACAATTAGCTTCGTAATGATACCCCAGTAAAGCTTCATTATATAAGCCATGTTTTGACTTTTCAATTTTTTAAAGTCAGGGCCATTATAATTAGTATCCTTAGTGATATGATCCCAGGATAAGAGGTGTGGTTTCTTGGAGCCATCAGTAGAATCCCAAAGGAAGTTGCTAGAGTGGGTTTCTATATCGATTAAGATATTATCAGGTAAGAGCATAGTCTGCATTGAATAGCTAGGAATAGAAGATAGAACTAATTTTATAAGAACAACTTTCCTAGCAGTATTGAGATAGTGACTTTTCTAATTAGATAATCAAGAATTGATTCTATTAATAAGGGGAGCGAAAGTTAGCTTAAAAATTCTCTCATGTATAATAGGAATCCCTAAATATTTTTCAAGATTTCTTGTCATTGGAATGCCTATTTCTTCGCTGATCTGAATGACTCTATTGATATTAATATTCTTAGAGCAGTAAAGCTTGGATTTAAAATTGTTGACTTTTTGTCCTAAAGCTTTACAGAAGTTATCAAGGCATTTTTGGATGTTCCTTGCCTAATTAAGGGATGCCTCTACAAAAAGAAATAAGTCATCAGCAAAAAATAGGTGAGAGACAGGAGGGCTATTAGTAGTTAAGCTAATGGGTTTCCAATCTCTTTTGTCAATGCTACTAAGTATGCTATGACTCAATCTTTCTATACAAAGAACAAAAAGATAAGGCAAAAGAGGATCTCCCTGTCTAATTCCATGTTTCGGGGTGAATTCATTAGTTGGTTCACCATTCCAAAGAACTTTCATATGAGTGGTAGTGATAGTTACCATAATGAGTTTTCTAAAATTCTCATTTAGCCCGATGGTATGAAGAGTATCATCAATAAAATCCCAAGAGAGTCTGTCAAAAGCTTTTTCTAGATCAATTTTGAGAGCCGAGAAGCCCTTTCTCCCAACTTTTTTCCTTATAGAGTGAATGATTTCTTGTGCAATGATGATATTATCACTACTCTGTCTTCCTTGAAGAAAGCTACATTGACTGTCCCTAATTAAATGTTTCATACATTGTCTTAGCTTGTTGGAGAGAAGTTTGGTAATTATCTTGTAGTAGACATTGCAAAGAGAAATCGGGCAAAAATACTTCATAGAACTAGGCTTATCATTCTTAAGGATGAGGGTTTATTTTCAAGGACTATGAATATGTGAAGTTATACGTCTGTGATCCATTTTAGAGAAAAGAGAAGAATGTGTGAAGAACAAATTGCCTTTCAATACTAGAAATGTAAGTCATAAATATTTGTACTCTTTAACATTAAACAAGGCAACTGGAACTTGCAAGTTTCCTTCAGCAAATAGCTTGTATATAAAAGTGGCCTTCTTTAGGACTTTTTGGATGTCTTGGCTGAGCCCACGTCCTTGCCACTTCTTCTTCACTTTCATTCTCATGGCATTTGTTTTGCATTCCAACTCTCAACCACTTAGGTACCTAACATCTAGCCGTGCAAGTACCTTTATTTCTAGAAAAATGATATTGAGAGGCAATTTGTAGATTTGATGTTATATGGCTTTATAAGGCCTATTACAAGTTCCTTTATAAGTCTTATGCTGCTAATTAAGAAGAAAGATGGCTCAGAGAGTGTATATTTGATTATTTAGAATTCAATCATATTATGGTAGTAAATAAGCTTGGTTTGTAAAATCAAATTGAATTAGCTAGTAAAACTAATAAATTGTTACATTAGTGAACGGGTTGTGTGACCAGTTAGAAATATCATTTTAACCTTAATTGATGTAAATTGCTTAACTCAAAAGCAACCTAGTAAAAGTGTAAAACCCGACCAACTTAATGGGTTAATTGGTTTCATTGATTTGGTTGAAGAAGATAAAAAAAAGAAAGGAAGGGAAAAGAGAAAGAGTAGTAAAAGAAGACTGATGGAAACTCAAGAAGCCTAAAAATTAAGAAGGAAACCAAAGAAGAAGAATGAAATGAAAATAAAAAAGAAAAAATGAAAAAAAAAGAGATTGCTAGAGTAAAGACTCACTAGAAGATTGAGAAGCAAATTTGCTGGTTTTTGTTTTTTTAAAAAACTTTTGAAGATATACCAAGTCTTGAGTAAGAGAATGAAGGAAGATGAATGGAATAGCTCGGCTGAGAAAATATTGAAAAGAAGATAAGAAAAGAAAAAAGAGCACAACTCACTAGAAGATTGAGAGGAAAATATGCAGTGTTTTTTTTTTTTTTTTAACTTTTGGAGAGCAATGAAATGAAAAGATGGAGAAGTAAATTGTAATTCTATGACATATAGGCTATCTTCTTTCTTAAAACTTGTATTTTCCAAGATTCAAACTTTGAATTTCAATTAGGATAATAAATTCACTTTACTACCATTTGATTAAAAGGAAAAGTATCTTCGCAAGTCATTATAGTTTACCTCAATTTTAAATAAAGTCCCT